ATTAGACAGCATGATTATTGCACAGGTGTGCCTTAGGCTGGCCACAATAAAAGGCCACTTTTTATTGGCCACACACACATATAAATGTCTGTAATTTATTTCACATTCACATTAATATATTATTTTTAAATATAGAATTAATATAATTAAATATGATTTACACAGTTTTACATAATCATACATCATATATATTCTCATTTCTGTCTGTAAGGTGCAATTATAATGCAAGTAATTCTTTTACTATTCCTTTTACTGAATTCTTAATCAAAACATATCTATGGAATTGTAGAAAATTAATCAAAACATAATAAAAAAAAAAAACATTGTGTCCAGATAGAATGAGAATGACACTTTTTTTGTATTACAAAAATAAGAAATTCAGGGAAAATGTCAGTGAAAAATAAATTGTACTGCCTTAAAAATAGGCTTCATTTCCTTATATGCAAATATTTACTTTATGCAAATTATACCTTATTTAATTTTATTTTAGTATCAAGTATGAACTGCACAATTTATTCAGTTTGATCTAATGCAGACTACTGTACCAGACAAACTAAAGCTGGACTCGTGTAGGTCTCTCACTCCCCCGTGGCGCGTGCAGGGTCGTGGGTTCATGTCCCCATCTGAAGGGCCCACTTCCTTCTTCCCTGAATTCTGCACTGCAGCTACGTCTCCAGTGTAGGGCGCACGCTCCACCCCCTTGAGTGCTTGACACTGAGAGAAGAGGGTCACAAACAAACAGTCGAGGCACTGCGATACGCAGTCATAAAAACATGATATAATGGAGTGAGAGTTTAAGTTTGAGTACCTTCTCCCTCTGGACCATTTTCTTGTACAGGTAGTCTGGGAAGGTTCGGAGAGGGTAGAACTTTCCTGAGCCCTCAGCACAGGTGAAGATGCCATTTTCATAGACCACGCGACCACGGCTGATGGTTACCAGCGGGACGCAGTGACAGCGTAGGTTCTCGTACAGATTTACATCTCCACCCTGCCATTGAGTGGTCACAGAGATGGTCCTACAGACACACAAAACCATGTAAAAACGTGTCATTTCATTTTGCAATACTTGGTATATGAAATATTTTTGAATTCTCAGCTGATCTGAATTTAGTTCATTATTTTGGATACCTTGTTGATTCTGGATCCCAGACGACCACATCAGCATCGGCTCCAGGGATGATCCTGCCCTTCCTGGGGTAAAGGTTGTAGATCTTTGCAGCATTGGAGCTTGTGACAGCAACAAACCGATTCTCATCCATCTTGCCTCCGACCTATTAAGAAAGATAGATAGAATGAGCTAAAAAAGGTTTTTTTTTATTCTTGATGCATCTGTCATTTCCTGTCCTCTCCATGATTTTTTTTTGTCTTTGGCAACATAACTGTCTGTAATATGAATGTTATATTAATATTAATACAATATTGTTATATAATTTATAACTTATTATATATTATTTATATACACTACCATTCAAAGGGTCAGAAAGATTTTTTTAAAAGGAACAAATAATTTTATTCTGCAAGGATGCATTAAATTGATCAAAAGTGACAATAAAGACATTTGTTACAAAATAAATATTCAAATAAATGCTGTTCTTTTGAACCTTCTATTCATCAGAATCCTGAAAAAAAAATGCAGCACAGTTTCCAAAAAAAATATTAAGCAGCACAAGGTTTGACACTAAAGACTCAGGAATCATCACAGGAATAAATTAGGTTTGAAAAAAAATGAACATATAAAGCAGTTATTTTAAATTGTAATAATATTTCACAATATTACTGTTGTTTGCACAGTATTTTTAATTAAATAAAGGAATCCAAATAATTGGTGAGCATAAGTAACTTCTTTTACAAACAAGTCACATGTAACTAATATTCAGGAGCTACACTTTCAGCATACTAACTGTAAGTATTAATGATTATCATGACTTTCACCCACTGAATTTGCTGAATTTAAGACTGTTTTTAAAATCACAATTTGCATACGATCAGTACTTTCCTGTTAGTGTTTTATGAAGTATTATAAAGGATATTATAAGTATTACAAAAATGGTACATCAGACTTGTCTTTATTTTCAAAGTATTCATTCATGCATACATTTTAGCCTAATACTGCTCACAACCATTAAGGAAGGGGTTTACAATAATTCTGTCAACTGTTAGAAACAGCTGCATCATAAGTTAAGTAATAATTCAAATAATTGTTAGTTTTTCATAAATACATTTCTCATCAAAATGTATTTAAAGTTAATCATTACAGCAGACTAAGTAGGTGAAAGTCTGGTAATAAATTAACATTAATGATATCCATTAAAGGGGTCATATGATGTTGCTAAAAATAACATTATTTTGTGTATTTGGTGTAATGAAATGTGTTTATGTGGTTTAAGGTTCAGAAAACACATTATTTTCCACATACTGTACATTATTGTTTTTCCTCTATGCCCCGCCTTTCTGAAACGCTTCGATTTTTACAAAGCTCATCGGTCTGAAAAAGCGAGGTGTGCTCTGATTGGCCAGCTATCCAGTGCGTTGTAATTGGCCGAATTCCTCAAGCGTGTGATGGAAATGTTACGTCCCTTACCATATTGTGATGCCTGCGGCAAACACATGTGACAACCCCGTGCTGGACTCCGCTTCATCCACGGTGAAAGCCCATCCGGCGATCCACAGCGCAAAGTTGATGTATTTCCACAGCGACCAGCATGGATCAGCTCCAGGCATGACGAAGCG